TATTGAGCTCTGAGGGTTTTTGTTCGGGTCTAGAATTCTCAGCATCTGTAATCATGAATTTTATGAAATCTTCTGGCAGTGATTCTCCGGCGACTCGTTTCCTTGACTCGCTTTGTGACTCGTTTCTCAACTCGGAGTACCTAACGTATAAATTGCCACTGCATGATGCTCCATTCCCCGCAGTATCCTGAGGTTTGTCGACCAAACGAACTGTGCAATGGGACACGAAATGGTCGTTGATGATGACAATCTCTTTTTTGACACTCCCAGCATGTTCAAAAAACAACATCGAGTCACTGTGCAGCCGTCTGGGGTTGAACAGAATTTTATCTTTTCTCGAATTCCGCCTTCTGCTGATGACACAAGTATCATTGTGTTCGTGGAATTTACTTATATTCCATGCTGTTGCGTTTTCCTCAGACAATGCAATCTTTACGCACCAATCGCTGATTAATGAAAAAAATACAGCACTTTCCCTGATGGAAGTGACGGCATCGAGGTCTTATACTTTTTCCTTTAACCGAAAAGTTCTACTTAGCATGATGAGAGACTCTAATATATGGCTGAACTGAGGAGCGATTGAATGATTGAAATGAAATGAGCCTTGGTTCAAGAATTGACTAATGACAGTTTTCCCTGATAATGACCTGCACTGTCTAGTTCCACTTATCAGTTCGTTATCAATTAGCCGTCTTTTCTTTAGGCAGTAATTATTGCATAGATGCTACTGTCATCTGGTGTGCAAAAAAGAAAGTGTCGAAGCTATTCCTTGGTGAACTGTTATCTTGGTATCCTGGTGTTTCGATTAAATTGGTGCTGATAAGCGATGAGAGCTTTGCCGCTAAATTGGAGTTGGAGTCAGTTCATCCTCATCTTGTGCTCAATATTAGTTGCATCTCTCATTTTTCATCTCAATCTAGTAAAAACTTACGGACTCAAAATAAATGTCCAACGCCGAAAACTCATGTTCAGTGCCTTTCAGTTCTCCATCACCATTTGCAGTGCCTTCAAACATCCTGTTCCTCCGTCACCACTCGCAGCACCAGAGACGACATCATTTGCTCCCCCAACCCCTTTGCGAGCAACACTGGGACCTTTCCTTTCGCCTCGCCAATTCCGCCGAAATATGGGCAACCACATACCCCTCTGTGACATGTACATTCAAGCCCCTCGATGGTACATCAGTGCCAGCCTCAATTCTCCATGGCCATCGGCTTTTCCCCACCATCGAGAAGTTGAAAGACAACCGCACGACCATGAGAGGCAAACCTACATTCCCACGGAACCACGAGCCCATGATCCCTCAAAATTACAAGACCACATGATCGACGAGCCCACAGAAAGCCGCAAAGGGATCATGCAGAGCCAGATAATGTATTCGAAACTGTAAGTTGAAGAAATAATTTCACATTACACAAGCCTGAAGGTTTTGGTAAACCAAAAAATGAAACTAAATCCTATTCAATTTTAGCAACCTGGAAAAGATTCCCGAGCCGAAAACCCGATAATAAACGAGACTTTCAAAGAAATCATTTTACAGAATGTCCTGAAGTCGAATGATTGCGCCAATAAAAGAAACGGAACCTTGACCCACAACGAACAATTGACCCTGTTCAGGGCCATTGTCATGTTTCTGTTCACGTGCACAGGGATGCTCGAGAAAATGATCATCAACACCATGGTACATGCTGTGGTCCAGGCGATTGTTAACATAGAAGAAAAAACTGAAGACGATACCGTAGAGCTGAGCATAGAACCAGCAGCCTGTAAGTATCTTTTTAAATCTAAAACAGTGATATGATAAAAAAAAATTTTATGACTCGATTTGATGACTCAAATTTAAAGTGTCAAGTTCTCGCGTCTCCCACGGAATTCCAGTCTGGCTATTAAAGGGTAAGAAATTGTACTATACAGAGGCCAGAACCCATTTAAAGAGGAGCAATATGAGCTATGTTGTTCAGCTGGCTTTTCGGGACACAAAAACATGGTGACGGCTCAACTGCTCTTCGTTAATTCATTTGAGAACGAGGTTTTCCGGGTTGCTCCACTTGTTGATCAGTTCAAACGCCAGGTAGATCAATCGATATAAAGTTTCAATGTCTTCCAAAGGGATCTATTTATCAAAATTGAAACCGACGTGGAATCACATGTAATACTTTCGTTTTTCATAGATTAACGTCATAAATCTGGAACAGCCGAAGCGCCGCCTCGCACGTAAGGTTGCGAAGCTTATGCTTTTGTCTAACAGCCCTACGTTCGAGATGGAAAAGTTGAAGAGGCAAGCTTCAGAATTTCACCAGAAATTGGACGTATACACCTACGAAGAGGTTCTGTTGGCAGTGCGATCCCGACAAGATTCTGAACGTTACGTTCGCCAGGTGCAGCGCGCACCGATCTTTGTTTAGCAGATGACGACTTCCCATGGGCTGTCAAGTAAAATTACAAACTTTTACTCAAAGCAGAACTGGCACCCCATGACCTGAAGAAGGTGGTTGACCATGTGGCGAAGCTGCTCAGTGATGGATCTAAGAGAAAGTTTTAGCCGCTTGAGAAAACCACGAGCCTGAAACATACCGCCAACGACATTGAAAGCTTTCCATATGAGGCTCAGCAAGAGTTGCAGAGTCGTGCATTGACCAAGAGCTGGGTCGGCATATGAGATGATCTGGTGTATATTGGGACCTGGCAAATGGGGCTTAAAAACTGTCCATATTTTGAAAAATGAGCTCGATGAAGTATAGTGGATAAGGTGGCTGGTTATTATGTTGTTCCTTGAGTTTGGATTTCTGTAAGTAGCAAATCGGGCATTAAAGAGTGGGTTGTGTAATGGTTTTTTGAAACTACTGTAAAATTGGCTGGGAAAAATAAAGAAAGTTTTGGAAATAAAAATAACAAACTTGGAAAATTTTACGTATAAAAGCTGTTAAGGTTATCTGAATCATAATTTTCTGAAGAAAGTTTAACTCATAAGCCGGTTAGAGATTAGAAAATTGATGTTGGTAACAACTTCGTTGCTGATAAACGCATTTATGATTACATTATAACATCTACTACTGCTTTTGACAGTAATTTTTTCTTCGTCGTGGAAGCCAGGACCGCTTCGTTTGCAAAAAATATCCAATTGTTGTTGACCTGAATAAATGTAAATACGGTTCGTATAAGCTTGGTAATCGTCCACCTGGACGAGGAGATTGTATTCAAGGACAAAATCAATGTCCATTACCAAGCAGAACACTTGTAACTTCCTGAACAATCAGCATAAATGTTTAGCAATTTTTTATTGCCTGTACAGGTGTTACATCAGTCAATTTTTCCTAAATTTAGGACTAGGACGTCAACTTCCTGTCGGCATATTGGGCATGAGAATTTGTCAAAAATCAATTTAGTTTTGGACTTTAGAGTCTTATAGCAAATAAAATCCTTAGTTTTTTTATGTAACTTTTATGTTCGGCCTTGAAGTCCAAAGTACTGAAGTGACCTTCAGGGCACCAGCGAACAGCTGATGAGCTTTGTCTATAGGACGTCAACTGCTGGTCAGTTCCAATAGACGTCATTCGCTTTCTTTTATATTCTACTAAATGATCAGAAGAGTAGACCCACTCGGAGCCCGAGTCGAGATTTTTCACCTAATTTCAAGCAAGATTGGAGCGGTTTGAGCGGTTTGAGCGTTTTTTTTAGACAAATACGCTCAAAATCTTGCTTCAAAATGAGCGGTTTGAGCGGTTTTTGAACGGTTTATCTAAAAAAAACCGCTCAAAAACCGCGCAAGATTTGAACGGTTTTCAGCGGTTTATCTAAAAAAACCGCTCAAAAACGGCGCAAAATTTAATAATAAAAAGTCGACCACACAGGGATTCGAACCCGCAATCTTCTGATTCGAAGTCAGACGCCCTATCCGTTAGTCTACGCGGGGGGGGGGGTGGGGTTTTTGAAGTGAAGAGTTGGTCAAAAATTCTGTTTTTGGGCACTTTTTGGAAAATTACTACATATTGGTCGCCCCTGGATGAACGTGTTCGTTCGAGTTTTGCAGAGAAGAGAAACGTTGAGTTTGGGACCTCGACCCGGGAAGACCGCTCAAAAACCGCTCAAAAACCGCTGAAATCTTGCTTGAAAAACCGTTCAAAAATCACCGCAAGAAATGAGCGGTTTTTGAGCGGTTTTTTAAGCAAGATTTGAGCGGTTTGAGCGGTTTTTCCAAAAAACCGCCCAAACAGCCCAAACCGCTCAAACCGCTGAAATCTTGCTTGAAAAACCGTTCAAAAATCACCGCAAGAAATGAGCGGTTTTTGAGCGGTTTTTTAAATAAGATTTGAGCGGTTTGAGCGGTTTTTCCAAAAAAACCACCCAAACCGCCCAAACCGCTCAAACCGCTCAAATCTTGCTGGAAAACCGCTCAAACCGCTCAAATCTTGAGCGCTTTTTGAGAGGGATCTCGACCCGGGAGAAGATGCTCAACATCATAAACAAATACTCGTACGTCAAGATAGCACTTGTATGACAAACCCTGTGAAAATCAATTTTTTGTCAATTCTCGATTAATACTTAGACCATTTATCCAAAAGTCCTTTTGGTTATAACCCTTATCCCATCAACGCTTTAGAACAGTAAACAGCAGATTTTAAGGAATCAAAACGCTTTAGTTATATGATGTATAGTTAACTCAGGCTGTTAACTTTGCATAAAACTGTTGCACTACCAAAGACTCAAGAAGTGGCAGGGAGTCTTGAAGTTGCTGGCAGAAAACCCTGATACGAAATAAATAATTGCAAATAATAGTTTCTTCCTTGTCTCAACTCTGATTGGTTAATAAAGTAATTGTCTGCTTACTGACCAGTGTGAATGCGCAGTTGTCTAAATAATGGTACGTTAAAAAATGTGCATACACATCAAACAGTTATTTCATTTCTCAGTGTGCCCGTTTTTCTTGATAATAGCAGTACTGGTGAAAGATAATGTTCAGAAAGTATGAATTGGAACTATTCAAGGTTGGAGATAATTACCTATTGATGTTCCCACTTTCATACCATCAATGTCGTTTCTATCTATGCATGCATCCTGAATTGGCTCAGGTTGACTTGTATAAAGATACCCCACCCAGCCAATGTCGAGTGGTTTTGAGATGCCATATGCATACCCCTCCAAAGTGAACCGGTACATCACACGACTATTGGCTTTCAGGGGGGTTCGTATCAGATAATATCTAAGCAGTTACATTACTCACAAAAACAACTGTTGGAACAGATTAACAACACTGAGTGTCATTTTGAATCGAGCAAAAAATTTTCTATGGTGCTTTCGCCGATAAACGGGTCTGATATTTTACCAACAATTTTTGATTTTAGACAGAAAAGGTCAGCTCTCGACAAAAAAACTGTTTGTAACAGAGCTCAAAACGTTCAATAAACGACCGCTCATTAGTTTTTGCAAACAGTTTTCTTGGCTAAATTACGAAACTTCTGCTTAAATCGAAAGTTCGCGCCAAGTGAACATTAAATTTAATGAGAGCTCGCATCCAGTTTCGATCGTTAGAAATCTATTGTACAAAAATTTTCAAACAATTTTTTCTACAATTGAGAAAAAATATCATATCCAATCAAAAATCGATTTTGATCTCTCTTTTTCATATCAAATAGTCATCTTTTTTAGAAAACTTTATTAGATTGAAAAATCCATATCTGTTGTTCGATACAATCAATTTGATTTTAAACGGTTAATTTTTGACCATTTTCTAACATTCATTTATTGGGCAATAAAAACAGTTTTAACCATGTTATAAATCATCATAAAGACTTTTATTTGCTCCTTTTGTTCTAGAATTTGCTGTTGAGTTGCTAATATTGTTGTCTTTTTTTTTTATAAAAATTGGCTCGCGCGAAACTTTGGAAAACATTTATAGCAGTTTGAAAACTCATTCAAATCTAAATAGTTATAACTTTTTTTCTAGGGAAAGTTTAGCTTAAGATGCAATCTGTTTTATCACCTAAGTATAAGCACACTGTTATAGTTTGTTGATTTTTGGTGTAGTTTTTTATCACTTATCACAGTAATCTTTCAACTTGTAGGAGGAGGTAAATCTCATCTCTTGTTTTGGGGCTACTTAACCAAGAGGGGCCAAAAGACATCTAACTTTCAAAAGTTTTGTTATCTTCAGCACCATTGTAGTTCATAAGAAACAGATAAGATAATTTTGGTGGCAATTGATTAAAAATATTTTAAACACCTAATTTTCGTGCTTAAAATAATTATTATCTTCACAAAAAAAATTATTGACTCAAGCTTATATGCGCTTGGATGCGGCGCTATGGTGCATACACAAAACAGTCCCTTACAAGACATTCCCATACAAAGGAGTCCGAAACCATTTGAGACTTTTTTCCTGATCTTTTGGCGCTGACAGAATTGATCTACGCTTTCAAAAATCAAACATGAGCGTGATTAGAGATCAGAGATTCAAAAATTGAACAACAAGTCAGATAAAAATCAAAGGCTTCATGGTATATTTATTAAAGCGTTAGACTCAAACTCTACAGATCAAAGGATCTAAAATACTGAGAAGGCAACAATAAGTTGATTTTTTTTTGTCGAGCAGCAGAGCGTAAACAAAAGGAACAAGACTGCTCGTATTAGAACGAAGCCTTGAATGTTTTGACTGCCTTTTAGGGTATATGAAGCAGTAATAACATGAAAAATTTAAATTAAAAAAAAATGAAACAAATTTCGTTAAAAAAATTTGAGATTTTTTTGTGAAAAACTTCCCCCACACGCCATATAAAGTACAAAGTGATAAATTCCGCTTCTAGTAACAAATCAATTATGGGAAAGAAATTGCTTCAACCAATTTGGAACGATTTCTAAGACAGGTTAACTCACCGCATACGCGTTAATAGCGCGAAATATATCGCGCGTTAATTGTCCCAAATTGGCCAAAATGGCAATCTTTAAACCCCCATAATTTTACGAAAAATGATCACAGGTGAAATATCTTTTCAAATTTAGGCTCGCATATTATTTTTTTTCTTAAGTGGCCGATTCTGTTATCTAGTTTGTTCTAACTTCTCTGCTATACTACCAATTGTTATCCGAATTAGTTGGAAACAAAATGTGTTTAATCCGAGAAAAATTTTTTCATCAGCGTCTGGAACAATTATCACATCGATCAATGAGACTGTTTTTTGGAATACTTTTTGAGACTGTTTTGTATGGGACTATTTTTTGTACTTTGCTAATATTTTTCGGACTGTTTTTTATTGGTATGTTTTGTATGGGAGACTGTTTTGTACAGATACGGGCGCTTGGTTCACTTGATTTGAAGCCTTTAATTTCAGCCAATCAGAAACTTTTTGAAGCTGGTTTCAATTCTTAAATCCTCTCATAACCCCCTCATAACCGAATAGCTTGTGAACCTTTTTCAGTCATCCAACTATGAAAATTTAGTAAAAGCGCCGCCTTCACTGCCATATATTCTAAATTTGAGAAAAAGCGTGTACCAAAAAAACGCCGTTTTTGGCTCAACCTTCCAAAAAAAATAATGATTTGGCCTGTAAGGTCGGGTCGGTCGACTTTACAATCTCATTTTCTGGTATCTACGGATCCGCCTCTATATACAAACTCTTCATTAGCGAATTCATTAAAAATCGGGTACAAATTATTGATATGATTGCAGACATAAATAAAAACAAGTTTTTATTACGTTTGCTCTTCTACAGCAATTTTTGCAGATATAAGGGTAACACTACTCTGGAAAACGAAAAAAAAATATTTGCATTTATTTTTATTTCAGTGTGATTCCACAATTTGCGTGGGTACGGTTGCTAACCGCGCAGAGCGCCCATGGATCATAATCGATTATATTGTCATAATCTGGTCAGTATCTACAAACTTACAAAATAATCGATTATAATTCAAAAAAAAGAGTAAAATCATAAATTTTAAAGTCAATATAATTCCTTATAATCAATTATAATCCCATAAAAATAGTTTATATTCTTCATATTATTTATTCCACTGTAATCAATTATGAACGATTATAATCGAAAATAATGGATTTCTGCGAGACGTTAATTTTTCAAAGTTATCTCATTTCCTGTTTAGTGCAGTTGCTACTTACGTTTCATAAAATGTTACATTTCACATAAAATTTTATATGTTTTCTTTTGTCTGATATATTCTGTTTGAATTCCTCTGATATATTCTGATTTCCTGCAAAGTTAACAAATGGGTCACGTTTTCAAAAATAATCGATTAAAGTGGAATCATAATCGAGTTCGTGGTCTGAATTTTACATCTGTAATCGATTATAATCGAGCAGAGTCCATGGGCTCTCGGTGCGGGCAGCTCAAAAAAATCGAGACATTGATTTGCAGTTTCATGATTTAAACAACGCTTTGTTAACTGCTTGTAAGCAATTCATTCGTCAGAAGGTACGAAAGAACTTATTCTACGACAGAGTTGAAGATACGCGTTTTATTCGTTTCCTCGAAATCTTAACGTTCCGGCAATCCACAATGTCCATGCATCCAATCGGAGGCTTGTATCTAGTGTCAAATGTTTGAAAAAACTATAAGAAATCTTAGCGGCTTGTCCACGACAATTAATTTACCTTGGTGAAAAAAAACTTTCGTCGATTATAATAATTAACTTGTGCCAAACATTTTTGTTCGGGTTTTTAATTAATTATCTGTTTTTTGGTCTGTTTTTTGGTCCTATATCTTCTTAAAGACCCTCTCCAGTTCACCTTCCCCCCACCCCAGTTTGCTTTACCCCCAAGCCCTGTTTACCCGCTGCCAATTTGCCAGTTTATCCCCCCCCCCCCTGTTTAACCCCCCCAGCCCCCCGGTTTAACCCCCCCACCCAGTTTACCATCCCTCCCTCCTTAGTTGGGGAAGGTACCCTCCCTCCTTATGTGAGGTAGAGAGGAGGGTAAAAAGAGCCGCTAATTGTAACAACTGTTGCTGTTTAGATTTCTCTGGCTTTTTAAAAGTCTTTTTTTTTACAGTGATCAATCTGAATCGTTTTTGACTTGTTGTTGCTAATTTACTCTACGTGACAACCCTCATCCTCTTGCCGAAGAATGCAGATTGTTGAAAAAACGTGCTCATTTTTTCAAAAGTTGCTTGAAATAAACAGTTTTTTTTCTTCGGGTTTTTTGAGAACGAAATTTGTCTTCAGGGTTCTTTGAGAACGCACGGAAAATAAGTTGGTTCAATTTTAAATAACATCAACATAGTTTTTGATTTGTTAAATAAAAATCCGCCCTTCGAGAAAAATACTTTATAAATATGTTTTTTTTTCTGATCAATATCTGGTTGTGTTTGCAGTTTGCTGTTAATTAATAATTATGAGGAAGCCTTCGACCTGTGTTTATGAGAATTGGCGGATAAAGAAAGTTCGCATAATTTCCAAACAGCAGTTTTAAAAATATGTCTATTTTAAGCAGATACATAAGACAAGTTGGCCTATAATTGGGGTTTCTTCGGTTATTTCACGCTCTTAAAAGATTAATCAAACAAGAAACATTTTTTTTGCGAATCTGGATTTTTTTCAAAATCATTTTCTCTTGATTTTACCTTAGGGGAGCCAAAGCAGTTATTTAAGTTGAAAAAGTTTCTTCAGTCCAGGTACTTAGAATATATTTTTTTCGAAAATGAGTTTTATTACAAACGCGACAAAAGTTCAAAATTTATATATATTTTTCATTTTGACATCGATTTTTGTCTCTTCTAGTTCAGAAAAGTTGCACAAAAATGAGTCCAAATGAGTTCTCTCATGTTATTTTTTTTCTTTTAAAATTTGGGGTTCATTGCAAGTTCAAAATTACCCGAAAAACATCTCTGTGAAACATATTTAGAGCTGTTTTAAAAGTTTTTTGTTTCGCAGTAAGCAAAAACACTTCATGGTGTATCTGTTTAAGCAAACCAATAATCGATATTCAAGCAAGAATTATCCATCCGAAAGGTTTGACAAAAGACTCCAGTTTTTCACTAGTTCTGACTCTTGACATTTTTAATGATGGAGTGACCGAAAGAAGGAAAAATTTCGAGTAAACAGAATCTTACGAAAACCGTAACAATCTTCTAATCGCTGAACGAAATTAACAGAAAACCGAAAATTTTTTTTACAAGAGACTGCGAAAACTACTGTTCCAGTGGACTGGCGATGGGCGCCTTCAGCTATTCGAAGGTTCATACACAGATCATGTTTCGGTTCTGGTAGCCTCGCAACATGTGCCCGTCTGATTCCAATTTTTTGAAGGATTTTTGTTCTGTCATTTTAAAAGTTACAGCTCTAAACTTAAGTACTTTCGTTGAGGCAACTGCAACTCTTGATTGCTTAGTTCTGATAGGTTGTCTATAATTCAAACCTATTAAAATCAAAAAAATATTGCTGTAGACTTTTTTTCGGAGTTTTGCTGAGAATTTTAATTTCGGTCCATGGCGATAAAGCAGTACCTAACAAGAAATTAAATAAAAGAAGTTCCAAAGATAGAAAAAATTAAACTCTATAGAAAACTATTTGAGTTGAACCCGAGTACTTATTAACTACTTTTAATAAATTTCTTGATAGATTCTGCTGACCTCAATAGACCAAAAGCATTTTCAAGAAAAACATTTTTTAATCGCAACACAACTTTGATTAAATAATAATTTGTTTTATCAATGAGCCGAATGTTCTTCGATCAGATAAAGTCGCACAGCAAAGAAAAAACGGAAAAATGTTAAAAGTTGACAAAAAATATCCTAGAATCGGCCCATGCAAACAATAACCAATCCCCCCTCGCAGAAATTATTCCAAGTTAATCAATGTTAACCTATAATTCCAATGAGATCATTGCAAAATAGAGCATTATTGATGGTTGTTGAAACACTAAAATTGACCATCCTCAGAAAAACAAGCCGAATATTTTCATTAATTTTACTGGAAAATTTGGAATACTTTCATTTGAAAACTATAAAAAAAGGGAAGGTACTGATAAACAAACAAAACGCTAATGCAAAAGGAAAAGCTTTAGTTCCTGAAAAATGCTATTTTTGTTCGGACTCTCAAATTGATGTATTGCAGACAAATATTGACTTTTCAATTAGCTATTTTCGACAGAACATTTAATTCAATCTGAGAAATGGTGTACTATAAAAGCATAAATACAATCGAAATTGGGTTTATTTTTCGGTTATGCCCCCTGAATGGATATGTTTGGTAATTCAAATTTCGAGTTCAAATTGAAAGCGCGAAAGCAAGTGAAACAAACAATTTATTACCACTCGCGTGCAATTAGCAGCTGCTCGATTAGGAAACTTAGTGATAAATTTGCCATATACTTTTGTTTCCATATTGAGCAGCTACTAATTGCACGCCAGCGGTTTTTAATTACTTGTTTCACTCGTTTTCGCGCTTTCAATTTCAAGTCGCAATTTAGTTTGCCAATCTTATACATTTAGGAGGGTATAACCAAAAAAAAAACGAATTTGAACTCCTTTGAATACTATGATTGAAAGTTAAAAAACTTTGGCGCAAAGCATTTATTCGTTGTTAAGCGTTTACGGTCACTTCAACCATTTCAAATCAAACTGATTCAAGCTATTCAATTTATCGATACATTACTACATGCAAAGTAGATCACTTGTAGCTTGAGTGGTGAAATACAAAACAAACTGTTTTGAAGTATTTTTGAAGCGAGAAATTTTGTTAGATTTGTTGGACAATTTTCTCGGGAAAAGTAAATTGATGAGATCAACGAGTAACATTTTTTGTCAAAACGGATATGTTTTTTTTGAGAACAATAATAAATAGAACTGGAAGTTTGATGCTATTGTTCCTACTATTAATGAAGAAAATGAAAGAACTCTCGTTTTTGCGGCGGTTTTGTTTCTCCAGACAAACGTCGAATTTTTGATAAGCAAATTGACGAAATATTTTGTTCCATCAATCGAAAAGTATTGTTGTCTTGAGCTCGACTATATTTCCATTGAAATTTTTTCGTGAAGCCATGGGTGCTTAAAGATTGCCAATTTGGCCAACTTTGTGAAAATTAAGCTCAATAAACTTCGCACTAAGTATGCGTAGGTGGAAATTAAGTCCGTCATGAAAATCTTTTTGAATTGAACTGATTCGAGCAAATTGGTCTATTTAAAACTTCGCTATAGAAAAAAATATATCACTTTGTACTTTGAATGACGTGTGGGGAGACGGTTATCGAAAAAATTAGTTTTTTTTTCGTACTTGTAACCCATTTTCTAAAAGCAAACTCTACTCCACAGACCTTAAAAAGTAATTGGAATATTCAGGGCTTTGCGCTGATGCGAGCAGTCTTGTTTTAACTAAAACTCAAGCAACCAATATTTGTAACTTATTACGGGACAAGTAGTTTGGGTCCTTATATTGGGTGGATTCTAACCTTGGTGCATATTCCTTTCCGACGATTTGACTATCGAGTAATTTTTCTGCTTGAGCAGCGTGTGAAATCTGGAGCACTTTAGTCGATGCTACAAATGAATCACACGGCTGAAAATCAAGACTCTTGGCCATATCTAAACAGCAGTTTTTTTTTTCTTTTCAGAAATCCTAAAAGCCGGAACACGAAATGATGCATTTTTTAGACAAACACGACAAAATTACATACAACTGACTTTTCTAGTCTGGATAAATTTAGATAAATGTGAGATCGGCTGCCTTTTTCCTGGAAAATTATCTCTTATATCTCCATCCATTGTTGTAAAAGTAGCTGTTCGCAACATCTGCTGCCAAAATTGGGGTAAACTTCAGTAAAAACGATAATTCTGATAGGTCCAACTTTTAGGTGGAAGTTAGAAAACTAGGTCAGCACCTAACCAACACAATACCCCCCCCCCCCCCCTTTGAGTATCTAGTCAGTTGCTCTCACCACTCGCTCAGAGCACGGGTTAAAAAATTTTCTTAAAAAGTTCCTTAGGTACAATTTTAGGCTCGGCCAGCCAAAACTGGTTCTCTTGAAATAGTACCAAAGAGGAAAAGAGTATACCTTTTAACGTGTATCCCACCACTAACTCCACTACTGATTAGAAATATTTATCAACCCGGGAAAATAACTCTGGTAAAAAAGAAAAGTCCCTGTTTTTTGAGCGGCCCTCCTTTTGAATACAAACCTTTTTTTGCGGGAGGTGCAGCGGGTATAATTGGAAAAGCCTCAGATTTGCCAGAAGATAATTTAAAAAACGGTTACCTTCAATCGTTTTTTGTCAATAAATTTGCTGAAGAAGGTTCAAAATTAAGTGAAGCTATTAATTGCTTATAATTTTTAATCGATACAAACAAAAAAGAGGTGTGCCACATATCAATTGAAATTACATGCTAATTGGTGTTAGTTTGAGCTCACTAAATGCAAATCGAAATACAAACCCTCTTGCGTTTACTTGAGTTTGCCCTATTTTTCTGTTTTCAGTCATCTGCTAATTTTTAATTTTTTCTAGAAAAACAGCCTGTTGACTATAATCAGGCAATAGCATACATTTTTGCTATTCAAACCTAAGGCCAATCGTTATAAATCCAGTTCGACCTTATGTTTCGACCCATTGCGACTCAGTTTGAACTTCAATTCCCGCTACTATCGATTTTGGTCAAAAAATGACATCTGGTTTGACCACTTTGGTCGAAACAAAAAGTCGAAAAATTCATCCGGGTTACGCTATAAAATATATGCTTCCGTTTGGGAGGAGGGGGAGAGAAAAACATCTAATTACTTAGAGGAAGGTCTCTTTTCTAACCTACTAAAATCGCTGTCGCTTTTTTGGCCTTACTGAGTTATGACCTAATGGTTATACTCATAGAGTAATTTCAGATAACGTACACCGTCTGCTCGTCCCGCTATCTTATTTTCGGCCGCATAGATTCGTGCAACATATTAGTCTAATACCGATCTTAAACTCCCGAGTCGAGATTTTTTACCTAATTTGAAGCATGATTTGAGCGGTTTGAGCAGTCTGTTTAGACAATTACGCTCAAAATCTTGCTTCAAAATGAGCGGTTTGAGCGGTTTTCGAACGGTTTATCTAAAAAAACCGCGCAATATTTGAGCGGTTTTTGAGCGGTTTATCTAGAAAAACCGCTCAAGTCCGTTCAAATCTTGCGCGGTTTTTGAGCGGTTTTTTAGATAAACCGCTCAAAACCGTTCAAATCTTGCGCGGTTTTTGAGCGGTTTTTTTAGATAAACCGTTCAAAAACCGCTCAAACCGCTCATTTTGAAGCAAGATTTTGAGCGTAATTGTCTTAAAAAAACCGCTCGAACCGCTCAAGTCTTGAGCGGTTTTTGAGCGTTTTTTTAAACCGCTCAAAAGCCGCTCAAACCGCTCATTTTGAAGCAAGATTTTGAGCGTAATTGTCTAAAAAAACCGCTCAAACCACTCGAATCTTATATATTTGCCAATGGTTATTTTGCTCGAGCATTAAAAAAAAAGTCGCTCACGTTGTTTCTGGTCAAGACATCGAAAAAAAATCTTGCTTGATTTGAGAACGGTTAAGCACGTTTTTGAATTGTAGATAGTATTTCAACTGCATCTTAGCGCATTTGACCAAAAATGCTTATCCTACAATTTCCAAATATAAAAAAATGCTTGTCCTACCTAATCTTACTTAGGGGTTGTGATTTGTGATCAAGGGTTGGAGTAGTAAATCGATCCACAGGGTTCAGGTATAATTAGAACGCAAGTAGTTCGTTAGATACTATTTTATGACTTACTAAGTTTAATTGTTTTAACCTGGGTCATCCAAATGAAGGATGAGTAACAGATGTTCTTCAGTGTTTATCCTAATTAAAACGGTAAGTTTTTTTTAAAAAAATATACTTTAATTTTGGGTCTTTGATAAGTGTTGGGTAGTGAATCGACGTTTGAGGTCGTTAGAAACTAATTAAATATGGAGGGGGAGAACAAAATTGTTCTATTTGATCCAAGAATAGGCCTTGATGATCAGAGATTTAGATATTTAAAAATTTTAAAATTTATATATAGTTTAAATTAAAGATCCAAGGGAAGCCTTGATGATCTGTTATTTAAATAAAACTAATTTAAGTGAAAGCAAGGATAAGCTTAGATAGTTTAAAATTAGAGAGTTTTAGTTTTGAAGATTGTTAGTTTTTGAAATTTGCTCTTATGTTTTAGGTGATAAAGCTGGGATGATGAGATGATTTATACTAACTAATTTTTGCATCTTTATATTCAAAAAACAATTGTTCAAGTTGTTATTTAATTTACAGCTGACTTAGGGAAAACGACAGGTGTTGTTTTTATCAATCGTTATTGGAAAAATAATAGGTTTAGCGCCATGAAAGGTCATTGAAGATAGTTCTTCAAATATTATATCAGTAAATGAAAGTTTAAATTTACTGCTGATAGTATTCTAAATACAAAAGTTTATCTTGTTTTTGTCGTGCTATAATGAAATCAATTATTAGACTTCTTCCTAGTCGTATGTCGTTTCTTGTTTGACGTCTTCTTCCAAAACCGGGTAGTTCTCGTGTTGTTCGGAATATTGGATCTGATCTATTGAAACGTAGAGACATATCTATTAAGTTTTTGTCATATAACATTTTTATGAAATGTTGTATTTGTCTAATTCTAATCTAATTTCTGTCTAAATCTAGGTTAGTTAAGGTCTGTTCGAGAATTTTGGTCGCACCAGATGAGTTACGTTTTAGGTACTATACTCACAGAGTTATTTCAGATAAGGTACACCGTCTGCTCGTCAAGCTCTCTTATTTTCGGCAGGATAGATTCGTGCAACTTCTTAGTCTAATACCAATCTGAATCTTACTCTTGTATGTCCTAGTCTCAATAGATCTAGTGTATACTGGTTTATGCGAATTAGATCTTGGAGTTTATCCAGAAGGAGCACAACTGGATTCAAATGATGTAGTTTCTTTTAGAAGTTGCGAGCAATGAATTTTTGGAGAGAGGAGAAGTATGGTTGTTTGTGCTAGACGGAGGAAGGTTGTTTCGTTCATGTTTCAAGATGGGCCTCGTTGATCCTGCTTGTCTTTTCTTGTTATAAATTCTTGTTAGTAAAATTTTAGGTTTGATTCATTATTAATTGTTGCCGCAAAAGTGATACTTTTTAGTTGGGTTAATTTTTATGAGTCGCTCACACTAGACCAACTCTCATCAAAAACTAAGTGTTGGTCAAAAAGCGTGGTTGTAGCGAGGTGGTTTAGGCCGGCTATAGATCATGCTCAGGACTCCCTCTGGTTGGTGAGGCCAGGAGTGGGCTATATTTTTATGGTCTTTTTGTGCAGAGTCTCTTTATTTGTTCAAGCTTATGTTACATTTTTATTTCTTTTTTTTTCTTTTTGTTATTTCTCAAAAATAAAAACTTTTGATTTGGAGTTGTCTTTCGACTTTTTTGTCTTTTATTTTGTTTTATGTTGTTTTGCTGGACTTAGCTTATTGAGAAGTTATATACATATCCTGCTAGTGGTTTCAGGTAATTTCGTTTTTGGTTATAAATGGGGTAAAATTTGGAGAAAAATGGAGGTTGTTTATTTAATCTTTAAAAGAAGGTAAGAGATGTGTTTTTCGTTCTTGCATCTTTATCCTTTATATGTTTTTTGTTATTTAAGATAATCATAGTGAGAATATATTTAGTAATAAATGGTGCCACAACGATATTGTGTTTTTTTTCTGTGATATAGAATGTTTGTTTCAAAGGTTTAGTTAAAAGTTTTCTTTGTTCTATTTTTCGAGTGGGAACAAGGAGTAATTGAATTTTTCCATTACTTGCTAAACTTGATCCTCGTGCTGTAGCTATTTTGCTTGAGGTTTTTGAAGGTAATAATTTTGGATGTTTGGGTGTAAAGTTTGTATTTCATTCAATGTGGGAATGTTTACATGATTTGATTCTGCTGCTGAGTCTATTAAAAACCAATTTCAAGGTCTGGTGATTGAAAACTTTTTTTCTTTAGACTTTCTGAGAGAAGTGGGATTATCCAAGTTTTTTTGTTAGTTTTACTTTATTTGCTGTATTCTGTTATATTTTGTTTGTACTTGAACTTCCTTTAAATTCTTGTGCGGTATAGCCTGTAATGTTTTGTGTATTACGAGAATTCTCAAAATTTTTAAAGTTCTTATTTTTTGATAAAAACTCGCTTCGATTGGTATCTGGTATTCATTTTCAATTTGAAGTATGTTTATTGAAACTGTTTTTTCTGTTTCGCTCTCATCATTTGTGGATTCACAGTTTATGTGATTTAATTGTATTTCTAAACTGTCTTTATTATCGATACCGGGAGGATCTGATTGCGTTTCTTCAGTTGATTGTATTTGGTTGATGTTTAGGTTGTCTGTGATGTTTAGGTGTGCTACATTTATAGTTTTGTTTTGAGTTTTGATATTGTGTATTATTCCTATGTGGTGACTAAGAATAATTTTTTGTCGATTTGAATAATTAGAATTTTGGTTTTTGGAATTATCACGTGATCTACAGTGATATTTTTTGTAGTTTGATGTTTCGTTTGAATAGTTTCGTGATTTATTATCTGAGTATTGTCTACTCCTATTGTTCGAATACTTTGTGTTTCGGTTATACGAAGAATTTTTAGAACGGTCGTTTCTATAGAATCAATTTTGAGAGTTTGAATGTGAACGACTTCTATTGTAATTGGAGTAATTACTTCTTTTTGAAATTGTCTTGAATAATTATTTCGAGATTGATTGTTTTAACTGTTTGATGGACTATATCTATTTTGTGAAAAATTTCGTGAATTTCTTCGATCTGGAGGTCTTTTTCGGTAGTTATAACTGTAAGGTGGTTGTTGCCTAGAGGTAAAATAGTAATCTGGAAGTGGTTTTCCTGAATTAATATTATTGTGATATTTTTGTTTGGTATTTCATGTTTTTTTTTCATTTATTGATAAGCTGACTCATTTGGTTATCAATATTTCTGTGGTTTGTTAGGATTATTCGGTTGTTTCTGTTTACATTCATCAATATTATGCCCATATCTACGGCAATAGTTACACCATTTTTTGAATGATGGGTTTTTCTCGTAGATGATCAATATTTGAGTGATTTTTTCGGCTGGCTCAGTGTCAGAGACATGAATGTTATTTAGTTGTGAAGTAGTTGTATGGGTGTTGTTTACGTATTAAAATTTTAAATTTTCTGTTTCTTCCGGTTCATAGTGAATTCAGCTTGTTCTAGTTTATCTACTAGTTTTCGGAAATCAATATCGGGTTCTCAAATTGAAGGTGGATGCGATGAAGCTCTATTCCTTATCGCTATTTTTCCTAATTGTGGGATTAGAGTCATCTTTAACTTTTTTTGTCATTTTTGTGTTTTTATAGTCTTGCGTATTATGGGAATTAGTTTTTCTTACCAATGTTTCAATTCTTTTTGCAAGTTGTTTAATTGTTTCTTTAGGTAGTCTACGAATTTCGTTGCATAGAACTCTTTATGTTGTTTGTTTTTTTTTTAAAATTGAACGTTTTTGAAAATTTTTGTGCGAATCTTTTCCAATCTGATTGATAATATCATAATAATTGATGTTCATAGGTAAAACTGAAAGCCATTTTTGGGCTGCGCCATCTAGTGTGGTTTGCATAAGAGCTGTGCGTCTATGTATTCAATTTTGATGAAGTGGCGTATTTACTGGTTCAGGTCCTATATTTAAAATTAAATTGGCTGTGACTGCGTTTAAATAATCTTTTACTGAGTATTCAGGGTCTGCTCTTGTGAATACCATTAGTGGTTTATTAGAAGATATAGAAGATCTACTCAAAATGTATGGATTCATAGTCATTTGTAAGGATTTTGCGGCATTTGGTAATTGAGAAAAACATGTAAGTTGTCTTTTTTTATTTCATGTTGTTGTAATTAATATGGAAACGGGATTTCATTTTGCATTTGAATTGTTTGATACCTTTGTGTATTTATAGGATTTTGTGATTGAAAGTTCTTATTATATGATGTTGGGCTATGTCATGTTTGTCGTGTTTGTTCGTTTCGTGTATATGGTTCGAAAAGATCTGGTTGATAAATAGGATCTGCTCGATCAATATTCCAATTAATGTTTTACTGATTTGTACTGAATCGTTGATGAATTTGACTATAGTAATCTTCATCTTCTGAAATATGTGTTTGAATCCTTATATGGTGTTTTTTGGTCATGTTTTTATTTTGCTGGAAAAATGACAAATTTTCGCTACGATCCATTGTAGCTCGTGGTTGATCGTTAACAAATACTGTGCGAGAGGCTTGTTGTTGTACGTTTTGATTATAGTTTTGTGCTTTTGATTGAATTTGACTAGTTCGTATAAATGAGTTTTGCTGCTTTGGATTTTGCAAAACAGTTATAGTTATGGTCCGAAAAATTGTTTCAATTAGACGTCTCGTTTGTTTATTTGTTCGTTGCGATGTCGTTACTGGTTTAATTGTTAGATAAACCAATTTTGAGTCAACTGGAATAACAGAAGGTTTTTTCTGTGGATTGTATGGTTGGTTGTTTGCGTGAATTCTGTATTTTTGTTTTTTGGAACTTTTTGTGTGGGATGAATCGGGGAAATGCTTTCTTGCGTTGTTGTTGGCCTTGTTACGACTATTTCTTCTTGATGAAATATGATGGAGTTTGAAATTTTTTAAAAGAATTCTTGTTCCATTTATATTTGCTTGTGTATTAGTGAATATGGAGTTTAAGCTATTATTTCCTGCTCCGTCAGTGAACATTGCATCATAAAATAAAGTTGTTGCATCAATAATAAGTGGAGATATTCTAACGTAGTCTTTATTGAGGGAAATGAAGGTGATGGCTTGAATTGATATATCAGTTGTCATATTATTAAACAATGGATGAGACCAATCAGGGTCCAAAATGTAATCTGTTTCATCTTCTAATTCAATTTCATCGTCTGAATTTTGTGATCGAAAAAACTTTCTTGATAGTGCTATGAGATCAACCTTATGAACAAACTAATCAAATATAAATAAGCCATGCTAGTATCTTTTGTAGATCATGTTTAACACTTTGTGTGATTTCGTTACTAATGAGGTTTTCACGGATTGTATTTGAAACTTTTGAGAAAATACAGATTCCCTGTCTTACAGTTGATTGTCGGGATGTTTAAGTTGATGACTCACTTTATGTTTCTTTCAATTCTATAATATATAGATTGCAATAGATAAGTGAAAAAACATCATTTGTGATTATTGAATTTGCTCTTTGTGAAATTTGGTATTGAATAATTTTTATAGGTCTGTGAAAACATCCGAGAATTCTATATCTATATCGTCTGTTTGTATTTGATGTGTGGTGTGATTTGGTTTTGGTAATACAATTTCATTTGTATATATACCGTAAAATGATGTGATATTATATATACATTTGAGATAGTGGTCAAGGGTTTGTCGCTTCAGTCCTACTTCTGAAATCCTTGTTTATATGGGCTATTTCCTTTTTCAAAGAAATTTACAATTAAGTTGTAACAAAATTGTACTTGTCCTCGGGCGGGTTCATTTTGTGGTTTATTGAAACACGTGAGTATCAAGTTCTCATTGAAATTTTTGTTGTCTTCGATCATGTTTTATAATGTAGAACTGTTAGTGTGTATCATTTATAATGTCTTATTGGTTGATTCCAATTCATAAGACGTATTGGTTTGAATTTTTTAGGTCTTGAAAGTCCTGTACTGTGTATGTTTTCGATTCTGAGACTGCGTTTTGTCGTCTTGAAAAAAGTTTTTGATAATTTGTTTTTGTTTGTTTTTATTGTCTTTTTTCGTTTTTGTCTAACGTTAGATACTATTTTATATTTTACTAATTTTTTAAGGGTTTTAGCCGGGGTCATCTAAGAAGAAGGGCTACAGTTAAGGATGAGTAACCGAAGTCCGTCACTGTTTAGCCTAATTAAAATGGTTAGTTTTATAAAAACTTATTTTAACCCTGGGTCGTTTATAAGGCCTGGGTAGTGAATCGACGTTTGAGGTCGTTAAACTCTTTTAAAAGTATGGGAAGGGGAGAAAAAAATTGTTCTGACTTGATCCAAGGAAAGACTTGGTGGTCAGAAAAAAAAAGAAAATTAAATTTAGGTTTAAATGAGTTTAAAGATCAAGAGAAGCCTTGATGATCTGTTTATGAAAGAAACTTAAAATATGGAAATCAAGGATAAGCTTTAAAAAACTTTATTGTAATTTTTAAGCTTAGGAAAATTTAAAAAATAGAGTTTAGATGATAATTTTTTGAATTTTTGCTGTTTATTTAGGCAATGGAGCTGAGATGAAGAAAATCATATGTGTTAAATTATAGAACAAACAATGATTTTTATTAAAAACTATTTTTTGTATTTTTTTTCAATAAATTTTTTATTCAATAGTTTTGATTTTTTGCAGATTTTGGGTAGAACGACTTGTGCTTTTCTTATCAGTCGTTATTGTATAGATGGTAGATTTGGCTCCAAAAAGGTTGTGGAAGAGTTTTTCTTTACATATTTTTCATGTCAATAAATGAAAAATTAAATATACTGCACAAAGTATTCTCAATACAAAAACTTGTTCCGGTTTCCGTCGTTCTATCATGCAGTAGAGTTGTCGATTTTCTGATCGTTTTTCACACCATGATCTTTGTCTTCTTTCAATACCTTCAAGACCGTTATTTCTTGTATTGTTTGAAAGACTGCGTCTAGCACTTTTGCAATTTGCAATTGTCTAATTCTAAATTAGTTAAGGTCGTGTTCGAGACTTTTGATTGCATCAGGTGAGGTATGACCTAATGGTTAAACTCATACACTAAATTCAGATAAGGTACACCGTCTGCTCGTCACGCTATCTTGCTCTCGGGCGGATAGATTCGTGCAACTTCTTAGTCTAATACCGATCTTAATCTTACTCTTATTTCTCCTAGTCTCAATAGATCTAGTGTATACTGGTTGATGCGAGTTAGTTCTTGGAGTTTATCCAGAAGGAGAACAACTGTATTCAAAGTTTTATTCAAAATGTTTTGGTGCTGAAACTACAAGTAGTTTCAGCACATACAAATAAGTGTGAATGTTAGAAAGGGAGTATGATTGGTTAGCTAGTGATATTTTATAGTGATAATTTATTAATATTATAATTGGTTCATATATAACAGTTTAGAACTGGTTCCATTACCAACTGGTTCCATTTATGGGTTTTGCTAATTGGATACGTAGGGTTGTGCAGTTACTAGTAAATAAAATTTGTTTACTTGTAAATTACTAGTAAGTTACCACTCTTTTACTAGTCAGTTACTTTTACTTACTAGTAAGTTTCAAAAACTCAGAATCTGCTTGAAACTACCAAGTTTGAAGACTATTCATTTTACACAAACACAAAATCCGCTAAATAATCATTATGATAAATATTATCAAGTGAAGCAGCGTTGCAGTATATGAAAACAAGTTTTTCTGCTCTTTCGACTGATAATTGAGCCTCATTTTATTTCAAAAGTTTCATTTTGGTTCAACTTACTAGTAATAAGCCTTATTTTGCTGGCTAGTAAGTTACTAGTGCATTTACTAGTAACTTACTTACTAGTAAGTAAGTCCGCACACCCTAATGATAAGTATTTTTTGATGATCTAAGAGAAAAGTCAACAATGCTTGGCTTTTGAGTTGTGGACAAAAATAACATCTTCCCCCAAGCAAATCAATTTAAGACCATACCGCTCGCTCAGCAATGAGCTTGAGTCAAAACTGCCAAAATTGGTACTCACACAATTCGCCCCTCCTAAAATTACCGGCACATTTCGTCCCTCACAAAAGAATTAACTGTGTAATACGTTTGGTGCGAAACGTGCGAGGACGAAATGTGTGAAATTAATAGGGGTGAAAAAAGTGCGTGGGGCGAAACGTCGGACATTCGCCAAAATCTTGTATGAAAAGAGGAAACTATTTTTTTCTGATGCTATTTTAATCATTCCTTTTAACAAAGTTTAGATTAGAACGTGTGGCACACTTCGTTAGCTTATATGTTTCTGTGGTCGCGTATCTGAATCTGCGTTTAGGCGAGTAAAGCTTCAATATAATAATCTACAATTTAGTTGACGCAACTGCTTAACTATTCCGATCAGTTTGATTTACGTATATTTGTTTATACCAAGGTATGATATTTGGTGAGTAACCATTAAATTGGTGCCTAATTGTTGACAGAAAAGCGTCAAATTTCTGCATATTCCAGAAATCAAGGGTCTGGCGATCTCAAAGTGAACGCCCTTCCACAATGCTAAGTGCTGAATTAAGAGGCAAGCAAAATTAGATTGAATCGAGGTTTTGAGATGAGCTTGCCTTCAAGTGGCCGTGATCAACCACTTTTGCCCAAAATTCTGAAGGGGTGTGTAATTATGTCGCAAAAAAATCATCTGTGAAAACTTTCTTCTCACTTTGAAAAAAAAAAACTTTTAAGTCATCTGAACCCATTGGAGAACCTCCTTTAGCTATAGTCATGTGCTTTTTTAGTAAATATGACTCACATTTGTCACATTGCTTATAAAAACATTGTGGCATTGGTTAACAAGTGAGAAAAATTTATTAGTAAAAATGACCAGATTGAAAGTCAAAAATCTACGTGGAATATCAAAATTTGGATTATTACCATAACTGTGACTATTCCAGTCACGACCATTCGAGTGTATTTTATTTTTTTTTCGGTTTTTTATTCACGGGAGGTCAGGTTATCATGGGAGTTATGTCGAGTGATATCTCATGTTGAAACCATTTCAGTCAGGATTCGAACTGCATTTTTAAAAATTTCGCGAAAAATTGTGCCAAAAAAGTGTTTTAAGTTTATGATTTTTAGTCTGATTCCCGGCGAAAAAGCAAACGAGCAGGCTTACATAGGAAGAATAAATCATTTATGCCCAATATGTGAAAACAGTCGAGTATACTTTAATTTCCTGTTTTATTTTTCAAGAAAACTAAGTTGAATTAACGTCTTTTCAATTTTCTTTCTAATGAAAGCTCTTACAATCATTCTCCTGGAAATATTTTTCGTCTTTTCCTCAGTCAGGGTTCATAAAAAATGTATGTATAATTTTTTGGATTAAAATGGTCAAATTAATCCAGCTGTTGCAACAATTCATCCAAAAATTATCTGAATTAAGCAAATTCTAGAAAAACGCAAACAAATTTTCGGGTTTTATTAGTTTTCGGTATTCATTTAGGTGAGTTATGAACAAGGTTCTGTACTCAAAGAGTAATTTCAGATAAAGTACGCTGTCTGCTCGTCACGCTATCTTATTTTCGGCCGGATAGATTTGTGCAACTTCTTAGTCTAATAGCAATCTCAATCTTACTCTTATATCTCCTAGTCTGAGTAGATCTAGTGCATACTGGTCTTTGCGAAATAGTTCTTGGAGTTTATCAAGAAGGAGAACAACTGTAGTCTAAGGCTTATTCAAGATGTTATGGTGCTGAAACTACAAGTAGTTTCAGCACATACAAATAAGCGTCAATGTTAGTGATGGAAATAGATTGGTTAGCTAGTAATGTTTTATAAAGATGGTTTTTATCAATAATAAAATTGGTTTATAAATACTAGTTTAAAACTGGTTCCATAGGTTATGCTGAACAGAAAAATTGATGGAGATTTAAGTACATTTCAACAGTGGGGGATTTAGAGGAGGGGCCGCTATCCTTCCCCCTCAGGGTTTTGGGCTTGTCGACCTTTTTTCAGGCATTTTTAGGCACTTTTTGGATTTTTTTTGAAATATAGATCAGAACAGACAAAATTCAGCAATTTAAGTGCTGAGACTTCATCCAATCGTCAATTACAAATATTCCTAGAGTGGCGACATAAAAAAAAACTAGAACGAAACCAACACAACCAACACGTAAATAGTCGACATCAGTCTGACTCCCGCAGCAAAAACAATGCTTCGACTTCATCCAACCGGCAGTTACTGTCAGAATGTCCAGTGGAAAACAAAATTGTAGTCAGATCAAGAACCTATCCAACCTGCAGCTTACTTTAACTATGTTGCTCTGAAATTTATTCCAGTGAATTTTTTTGACGATAATTTTGTTGTTTGATTGGCCGAACAGTATAAACCAATTTTAGAACCTGTTTATTAGAAAAACTCAGATAAAACGTAAATTTTATGTATCAAAATTTTGTAATAAACACTTTAACTAAAGATTTTTACTCGCAATTGCTTCCCAGTGTTCTCGGAACTAAAATGTTGGAAAATATCTTGCGTGAAATTTTACAAGAAATTACATTATTCTTGCAATTTTGCAAAATTCCTGCAAGATTTATACTTACCTTGCTAGTTTCTTTCAAGATTTACATTCCATTTGCAAGAAGTAGGCACGAATTTGCTCTCTAAAGCTAAACTATCTAAAAAACTTTCGCTGTTTTTAGTATGCAATTTTAAATGTTTCTGCTAGCCTTTAACATATACTCAATAAGATTTCAAAGCGGACACTGCTGGTTATGTTTCTACTTACGCGAATTGCATAAATCACTAACTTTTCTGCAGGTTTAAAAAATAGCAAACCTTGCAAGTGTCTTGCAAGAACCTTGCAAAATTTGGATTTCGAAATTAGAATGCAAATTTTGCAAAGATTGCATTCTAAGTACACTTGATTGGTTTATGGATGGCATGTTGTAGTTTCATAGTTACATGAGCCTTGTTCAAAGCAAACCAATAAGCTTATGATTAGAAACCAGGCCAAACAGATGTGTCGGACCAATAACGGATTTAGGAAGAGACGAGGGGCAAAGCCCCTTGCCCCTCAGGGATTCGACCCCATAGCCATACAAAGCCTCCCCTTTTAGTACTGTCTTGCGACCTTCAGTTTTGGTTGACTGGCCAAAAAAATTTTCCAAGGGGCCTTCGCTGCAATATTATATAGTAAATTTGATATTTTTCATTAAAAAAAAACTTCCAAAAACTGCTTATCATTTTTTTTGACGGTTCATACAAAAACTAACCTGCAAAAAGTTTTCTCAAGAGAAACCTAATTGGAAAAGCTCGGAATAAAAATTGATAGACCTAAAAAAAGATTATTCATGATGTGAATAACCTTTCACATGCATTACTTGAAAAAGCGGTAATTTCCAGTTTGTAATTAAAAATTTATCGGAGTTTGATCATATTACCGATGGTGTATAAACCAACTGAAAGATGACATGTTATAATTTGAGAGCCAAGAGTCTTAAATATTGGCAAACACAGAAAAGCAAAAAAAGGGTCCATCATCAGGGCCACTTCAGTGCATCATCAGAGCCACTTCAGGGCATCATCAGTGCCACTTCAGTGCATCATCAGGGCCACTTCAGAACATCCTCAGTGCCACTTCAGTGCATCATCAAGCGTCACTTCAGTGCATCATCAGTGCTTTTTCGGGACATGATCAGGGACACTTCGGGGAATCATCAGCGCCACTTCAGGGCATCATCAGCGCCACTTCAGGGCATCATCAGGCTAACACTGCGTCTCATAGGTCCCCCTCCAGCAAAAACATCAAATTCTACATTAAAGACGGTCTCAAAGGTTTGGGGAAAATTTAGCAACAGTCATATCTCCACGTTAAATCAGATGTCTCAGAGATTCCCCAGCCGTCCTTCCCAGTTCCAATTAGATCAGACTGAACTTTTTTAAATAAATGTTTCCTAAACGCATACTCATATCCATTGTGCTATACATACTCATCATCTGAACTTCATAACTGTGCTAGTTTATTTTAAAAAATAACGCCTACAGTGCTAACTTCACTAGCAAATTAGGCCAAAATTGCGACGTATTTCTTGACTCCCTTTAATTGTTAATTCTCGGGGTACCAGGTTAGTTCTAACAAAAAAAAACATGTTTTCCTATAAAAAACTAATAGCCAAAATACAATAAGCAAAGTTCGTTGTACACAAAACCAAAAAAAAGAGAATTACTGATTCATCCTAACACGTATTCACGAGAATTTGGAATATCTCAAAATTGTCTAATTCGGTCAAAATTCCTAAAAACATTGATAACTGAAAAAAAATCAAATTAACAATCCAAAAAATTCTCGAAGTTTTTACAAAATGTAAGAAGGCTCATAGCGTAACACTTAATAACCTGCAGCAGAAGTTTTAAAATTTTTGCATATTGCTCAAAAAATAAAAATGTATTCTCAGTCAAGTTTCATTGCTGAAAAGGAAAAAAACTATCAAAAGCGCTTGGTTTTTAATATATAAAATGCGTGATTTTTCATAGTTTCCTCAAAAATTATGAAAGCCCTGTATGAAAAAATGGAATAATTGGTTTGAGCTGTTCAAAACTGCAATAGGAAATATAACCTAAATTAACTGATGTGAAAAAAAAATAACTAAACTCCAGTCCCCGTGTGTAGATAAAACCAAAAACTTTGTGGCAACCCTAAATTAATTGTTGCAGCTTTTATTAAGAGGCCGGAAAATTTTGAGCGTCTGAATGTTAATGAACCTCAAATAATCGTCAAGTTCGCTGCTTTTCTACGTAAGCTGATGCACAGTTCCGAATTAAACAACTAGATGTCCGACTTGAGTTCTTACTCAACATGCTCGCTCTAAACTTCATCAAGCAGTCTTGTTCAAATGGAAGAATACAACATAAATATTGGGATGGACTATGCTAGTCTCAGAGATCTCATGGACTGGCCTAAAGATTACTCTAGAGCTTGCGATAGTTTAAACGTTTTACCCAAGGCACCGCGCCGTTTTACGGGAAACAAAGATTAGAAAAACAATCAACACTAAAAACTTTTGTTAACCATGCGTAACAGCCAGCACACCAAAAAAAGAATAACAACAAGTATGAACCAAGTAAATTGAAATGGTTATGTCTACTGGACAGGGAAGATCACTTCGTTGGTTACTGCCCAGCTTTTGTAAAACTATCTATATAACAAAAAAAGTCAATTAGTGAAGGATAAGCAGTTATGCTTCAATTGCCTGGGTAACCATAGGTCAACTGACTGTAATTTTCCTAGACAATCTGTCATACAAAACTACGGGGAAAACACTACCCTGGCTCACATAGGAATCAGGATAAAGCTGCAATGCAAAAGGTAGTCAAAAGTCTTGGAGAAAAGAAAACATGGGATATTGTGGCTTTACCT